GCCGAGCATATTTCGATAACATTTGTTAAATTTTAGAGGTAATGCTGAGTTCTAGTTTATTAAATCATAACTTTGCTTTAGGCCATAGAAGATCTAAATTAATCTCTAAACAAGTCGCAAGTAAACAAAAAAAACGTTCGTGAACAAAGTGTACGAATGAGTAATAGTGTACAGGAACAGGCACCACAGTTCTGTAAATTGCATCTGTTAGAACACCTGAAAGAAACAAACGTGTTTCGAACATTACAGCTCACATAAAATTTTTAGCACATTTTCAGTGATTATTGTAAAAGTACACTCCCGATTTGTTATATCATTGATAGCTTTTCGATGCATCAATTAAAATAACACACAGATGTCTCATTAGGTGCAAGTTTACAAAATTGCGATGTAGTTTTTTCTTTGAGCGATAAATTGTAAACATAACGGGAGTGTCCTAAATGTTGAAAATATTGGAATTTTCGTTTAATGCTAACATGAAGAAATAGTTGCTACAATCACTTCAACTTACCCACCCCTTTTCATTGCAACAGAGCTTATATAAACTTACACTCTGGTTACCGAGAACTATTTCTATAGATGTGCATTTGGACAGTAGCCCCTGAGTCAAAGTTTTTTTTTAATATTCATGCACAGCTGTTAAACTTCATGTGATGTTTTCGAATGGACATTAGCTTCATTTTTATTCACGTGATTTGAAGGCGTGCTTACAAAGTGATATCTATGATCGACCTTCCTTTTGTTGATGTATGTAAGCAGTAGAGACATTGATCTATTTTGTTGTCAGAAATGTGTTGTGAAAAGAAAGACGCAGAAAAATTGGTACATCCCACGTATTGTGGAAATCAGTGATATGTGAAGCACGGAGGGGGAAGGTTCAATTGTCACATTAGAATCAGTATAACTTTATGAAGCGGACGTAAATTATGCCGTACATGACTTGCATGTTTTAATTATCATGCTTGCGCCTGACATTTGTGCTATGCGTCCATTCACGTCAAGTTATACCTAACTTTGTATATGTGAAGCTAGCGAAACGGCCGCGAGCGCGCTAAAGACATATACTATAGCATGTAGCCATGTTTTACGTGACACGCATTTCATGATTATCATGTTTGCGCTTGTCATATACCTTCAACCTCCATTCACGTCATGTAATACCAAATTTGGTATATGCGATAGCTAACGAAACAAGTTCAAGTTCTCACATAAGACGGATATCATGATTATCATGTTTGCACTATTCATATACCTTTATCATCCGTTCACGTCACGTAATACCAGATTTGGTGTATCTGAAGCTAGCAAAACAATCGCGAGCGCATCATGAGCGTGGCATGTAGTTATGTTCTTACACGACACGCATGTCGTAATTTCCACGTCAGGGCCCGTCACTTATGCTCGCCATGCAGCACCGTCATACCATACCAGTTTTCGATATGTCTTGTCAATGAAACCACCGCAGGAGCACCAAGACACTTGCATTTCAATCATACCATTCATGACATACATGTGATGATTTTCATGTTATGGCTAGTCACTTATGCTCGTCATACAGTCATGTTATTCCACACCAATTTTGGTATAGATTCCATTATCCAAACGGCAGGAGAGCTAAACGTCGTACGTGGATAGATAGATAGATAGATAGATAGATAGATAGATAGATAGATAGATAGATGGATAGATAGATAGATAGATAGATAGATAGATAGATAGATAGATAGATAGATAGACAGATAGATAGATAGATAGATTCAAACTCACCGAAGTTCTATAAGAACTGCTTCGCATTCAAAAGGAAAAGAAAAAGTACCTGGTTTGCTAAGCTTTACAGGATGATAGGAATCGAGACAAACAGAACGCAGTGACAGAACACCAAGAGTGCCGTTTCATCCAGAAATGCATGATCATACTTCAGTTAATCACTGAGGCCGTATACAGGTGTGTCTCGGAGCCATGAGTATTTTGTTCTAGGAATGAGGCTGGACATAGCATAGAAAATGCACATGAAGTCCACGAAGATATGTGAACACTTTTGCAGCTGTAACTTGACACTTGGCCCTGGTCACCGCACTTTAGAACACTTGGCTGGCATAAAAATGGATGCTCAGCACGTGTTATTATTATTTATAATTATTTGATTTACATACTCCAGATGCACAAGGACACACAGGAAATAGAGGTAGAGCAAGCTGGTAACATCCACCTGGAGGGGCACGACGCTTGCCTTATACTCTTACAGAAAGGTAAATAGTTGGCTAATTAGTGAGAAGTTGTAATTGTATTCGGTAGTCTGGCTAAATTTAGCAGGTAAGAGGTGGCCAGTCAATTCACAAAAATGTGTAGATGAGAACTTGAAAGGCGAGACATGGAGACCTCTTGCGTTCCGCTGGTACACTGGTGAACTTTTGACTTGTGTCCAATATGATTCCCGTGGGCAATTTGTGACGTGTAAAATACGTGACCAACTGAACAGCCCACACAGACTTAAAAGATCAAACCAACGTTTATTGTGTCTGCATGAGCCCAGAACGTAAAAAGAATGATGATTTGTCGCCTTCTTCGAACGAGCTCACCAGCTCACTCGCCTGCAGTTTTTCTTCTCCTTTGTGATAAGCGCGGGGAATTCAACATTCCCGGCCGCGCAGTGGGGTCACGCCTGTAGTTCTAGTGGGTACAGCCTTTGTATTGCCCTCAATTCACAAGGCTGTCTAGTCGTTTTATCTTGCTCGAGCAAACGTGAACATCTCTTTCGTAGACTTCGATCACCCTTACGAGTTGCCACAATTGACGAGGAAGGTTTTCAGCATGTACGAGTAATACATCGATTTCCTTAACTTTATTAGTTATCTTAGTTATAGCAAGTACTGGTCTTGGTTATAGAAAGTACTCTTTGGTCCATCGTATCCAAAGGTTTTCTGTCAGGTACCTTCTGTACTGAAGTTTTTGGGTGGCCTCCTTATACGTCGAAATCTGTGTTTCCTCGATGTGCCTTGTGGTATCGCCGTGAATCTTCGGCCAATTATCAGATCAGCCGGCGTCAAAGTACGTGGTTAGCCGTCTTCGGATTCAATAAATGTGAGAGGTCTTGAATTAACGACGGCTTTATCTTCCGTGATCGCCGTCATAAGCTCTTCGGAATTGAGGCAGGCTCTTCGAAGAATCCTGTGAAGTGGTGTGTTCACAGTTCTTACTGACGGCTCCCACCATCCATTCCATCAAAGAGGGTTGGGCACAATTAACTCCCATTTTACGTCTTTACTGGTCAGGTGTCCGGCGATATGTTCTTGTAACGGCACGCTGTAAAACTTTCCCCTGACGTTTTCTTAAAGGCCTTCGTATTATCTGAATAAATGACCTGGGGAAGTCCTCTTCTGGCACAAAAGCGACGTAAGGCCATCAAGAATGCTTCAGATGTCATGCCGGACACAAGTACTAGGTGGATCGCTCTTGAAGCTGCACACGTAATTAGAGCAATGTAGTTTTTCATCTCTTCTAACGGTGTTTTCACAAAAAGAGGTCCCATAAAATATACCCAAACCACTTCAAATGTGTGCGTTGGTGTCACGCGATGCTTTCCGGGAGGAGCTATGGGAGCGTTTCTTGGGACAACGGTATATCGTTTGCACAAGTAACATTCTCTCGTTACTTTCTTGACTAGGTTTCGTGCTTTCCACACCCATAAGCACTCTCATAACTGAGTAAGGGTATCAGGCACGTTTCCGTGTAGAACTTCGCAGTGGGCTCGGATTGTTAGTAGCCTTAAAAAGTGATGATCACTTGTCAGTATAATCGGGTGCTTAACACCTTCAGGGGATTCCACTCGCATCAAGCGCCCACCAACCCGAAGTATTCTTTTTTTGTCTTGGAATGGGTTGAGGCTTGCGACCAACGATGTTTTGTCTATAGAACGCTTTTCTGCGAGAGCTTTGATTTCTGCGCGGAAAAATGTGTCTTGTATGTGTAGAATTCAGTACTGCTCCGCCCTCGATAGCTCCTTTGCAGTGAGGGGACCAGCTTGTCAAGTCTACTCTAGCGCTCCACTACAAGTAGAGCAGGTGATGCTTGAGTGCTAAGGCTTACTTGAACAATGACTTTCTCACAATTCACGAGTTCGTCATCCCCTCTTCGCACTGGTTGTGATGCCCACATGTTCTCATTCTTGAAGCCAGCTAGGCCCATACCACCACAATAGGTTCTTAGCTACCTGGTCAACAAATACTCCTCGTGTCAGCAGGTCCGCAGGGTGGTCGTTACCAGGGCAATGCTTCAAAGAAGAAAACTCGGTTCGCTCTTGTGTTTCAGTGAGTCTGTTGCGAATGAACTGTTTCCACTTCTGTGCATGTCTTTTAGGCCACGAAAGCGTTATCGTCAAATCCGTCCACATTTTGTAACGCAGCTGGAAGCCCGCAAGTGCGCTGGATATGAAAGTCATTAACCTTGTGCCTATCAATGCCCCTAGAAATTCTAGACGATGCAAAGTTACCGTCTTGATGGGCGCAAGATGTGACTTGGCGATTAGAAAGTGCGGTAGTCTTGCTTTCTCAGCCACGACATAGGCCACTGCACCGTACGCTAACGAGCTTGCATCGCTAAAAACATGCACTTCTAGTTCATGGAGCAGCTTCGCTCTGTTGCTGTTCACGTAGCGCGGAACCTTAATTGACTGAAGCTTTGTCAGCTGGTTAACTTAGTCTTGCCATTCTTCTCGTAAACCTCGAGGCAAGGAATCGTCCCAGTTAATTCCACGTGTCCAGATTTTCTGAAACAATATTCGTATGGACACCGTGTATGGCGCGACGAATCCCATCGGATTGAACACTCTTGACGCTGCTTGTAGAACAAACCTTTTTGTGTCTTTTTTCCTTTAAGAAAGACAAGGAGATCGGCCATTGAGAAGTAATTAAGCGCTCCGGGGACTCCACAAAATTCCCAAGTACTTTAACTGAAGCTTCATTAAGTGCAATCATCTCTTGGCTGGTTGATCGTTTTTCGCCTTACAATAGGTTCATAAGCATCGCGGAGTTTGTCGTCCATTTTCGGGGATTCATGCCTGCCGAGAGCATGAGCTGTTGCTCCTCTTTACAAAACTCGGCATCTTCGTCTTCCGTATCAGCTCCTCTCACAAAGTCGTCGACGTAGAACGATTCGCTCAATGTCGGGGCAGTCAAGCTCATGCTCGGTGGTGCTGTTCTAAAGTGATGAAGAATGGTTGCTGTCGGCATAAATGGGCTGCAGGTCACCCCAAAAGATATTCTGGTCATTCTCCATGCCCGCGGTTGCTTCCGTTGAAAATCGGCAACATCGCCTTCTTCGAACCAGAGAAATCGAAAGGCATCTAGGTTCTCTTCATTTATCAAAATCTGAAGGAAAGCCTTCTTAATATCCGTCATTATGGCGATAGGGTGCATTCTGAAGCGCAGCAATACCCTTACGAGGTCTTGGCACAAGTTGTCGCCGTTCTCTAAGCACTCCTTGAGAAACTTGCATCCTCGTGCCCTCGACGATGCGTCGAAGACGACTCGCATCTTTGTTGTCAAAGCCTGTTCTCGAATAATTTTTTAAGTGGCATGTCGTAAGCTTTTGCCAGATTTGTAAGTGGGTACTTTACTACTTCTGCATATCCTGCTAGCAGATAATCACGTATCGTGGCGTCGAGAGTTTGCAGAAGCCCCTCTCTGCTGGATAAGTGGATCAAAAGTTTCTTCAGTGTGGCAGTAGCGACTTCCTTGTTGTCACATAGTTCCAACCCAGTTTTCCAGGGCAATGACACTTCGTATCTGCCTCCACACAGCACTATTGTTTCCTCGAAGTGTTGCATAGTTAGTTGAGCTCATCTCGATCTCCTTGTTTATGGGATCAGATATGCCGATACTCTCTAGTTCTCAAAATGACCGGATTAGTTCTTCATTAACACCTACTTGAGTCTTACACACGCATACCGTGACTCGGGAGTCAACTGCCTTTGACGAAGAGTGTTCTGTGCTTTCTTGAAATGTCCATCCAAACTTCGAGTTTATGACAATGAGTTTTTCTTTGCTTTCTGGTCCGTGCATTTCACCTGTCATCACCGTCCACATCTGGTCCGAGCCAATCAGCACACTTATTCCATTTTCTTTTTCAATGAATGAGTGGAGCAGCTCGTTCGCGATATCGTGTCCAGATTTCTTGGAGGATGCGACGAACATCGAAGTCATCGTGCTGTCTGATATGACTTGGAAAATGTGCGGTATTTCGATGGCTTTAAGTGTCATTTCAATGTAGGGGTGCTGAATTTTGAGGTGAAGCTCTACGATGCGAGGTCTTTTCAGTGTGCAACTACTGACGTTAGCAAAAGTGTTGCTTGCAATAGTTGCAAAGCTGAGACACTTTAGACAGCCTGGTTCCTGGTTTATTACCGAGTTTCGGCCCTGAAATTGTAAAATTTGTAGCCAACTGAACAGCCAACACAGACGTAAAAGCTCAAACCGACGTTTATGAGCGTCTGGATGATCCTAGAACGTAAAACGAATGATGACTCGTCGTCCTCTTCGAAAGAGCTAACCAGCCCGCTCGCCTGCAGTTTTCCTTCTTATGCGATGAGCTCAGGGAATTCAACATGACGTTCACTGAAGGTGACCAAAGACTGAATGCAGGGAATGCAGTACTTGCGACGAAATTTCTCGGCTGTGAGGACGTTGAAGTAATTATCCTGAACTGGCTATCGATGCCAGTGTTGAAGTTTCTAAATTTCTGAACAAGTACCTCTGAGTGTTGTCTTGAGAAGAGCAGAAGGCTCGAAGAATGTATGAAACACATTATCACTGGTAGTAGACTAGGCACGTTAAAACAGCACGTGTTTTAGGGTGGAGTAGCATTTATTATCCTAATTATACTTTTGAGGGCATTAAAAAAAACGGGAATCTGGAGCTTCTTGTGGGAAAGCCTCCTATTTTCTTCTTTTTATGCAACACTTGGGCCTTGGGGCTCATATTCAAAATAAATGCACAAAAAACACCGCGAATACACAGACGCGCTGCACACTTTCACAGGAACATGCAAGCAAGCACCCGTGCACAAAGGGGGAAAAGTATCACACACATGAACGCACATTGGCAGGCAAACAAGGCAATGTTCAGCATCACGGAGTCGGAAGGGATGCTGAGTGTGTTCTGCAAATCTTTATGTTTTATCCTGAATGATTGCGAGCCTAACTTGAGAAATGTCAGAGCAAATATATAAGTCCCCGATTTGAAAACGTTCTGACGTAAAAAAAAAGTAGCGAAGAGTTTCGCCACTGTACATTTTGGCTTCATCTTGCGGAGAAGAAATAAAACGCGCACATTGCAAGAACCTTTCTAGTCTGCCGTTTTCTTTTTATCCAGCCATCGATTTAATGACTTCTGCTTCTTTCCTATAACAAAAAGCCAAACTAGGGCATACTGTTTTCAAGACTGAATGTCCAAACGCTTTTTCAAGGCATTTCAGTGCCGTCGTAGAAATAATTACAGTGTTTCTCGAGAAAGTGCGCAGCGTTTATCGGCTGGCTGAACGGCAGTAGAGAGTGGCCTTAATAGCGAGAAATAAAAAAAATATGCAAAAACTTAACACTCTTTATAACTCCTTAGTTAATAGGCTGTCGTTCCAGACGTCAATGCGAAAATTACGACTATGAGACTGTAAAAAGCAAACAACGTGAATACACATTGCTGTATTCAAATACTCGCCCTTGAAGTCTAAAGTAGAAATAAATAAGGTAGCTAAAGAGAGAAGCAAAGCATGTTTTTGTAGCGGTAGCATGAAGAACATATATATTAACGAAATTGTGTAGAGGATGACTGTTAAAGCATGTAGGTGAAAGATGAATCTATAAAATGTTAAATCAATAATCGATTGTGACCAAATGCAGAGGTGCTACCATCAGGGGCAAGGCGGAAAGATGAGGAAGATAAATGCGGTTTCACGCGGGAAATTAGTAACCTTGACAAGACGTTAGAGATTACTCAAACAGCGGGAGCATTTTGATGTGAGCGAATGCGAAAACGCCTCTTTGGCTCGGTTGAGGTGCAAGTCAAGGAACCTCATGCAGTCAGAATTATTTCACAGCTCCCCATTTTTCATAATATTATCAGGTTATGGTGATTAAAACTCCAGGCTTTTTAAATAAATAAATAAATAAATAAATAAATAAATAAATAAATAATAAATAAATAAATAAATAAATAAATAAATAAATAAATACAGGTTCTGTGTAAGCCCGTCGTGATAAAATTATTTTAATCAAGCATAGCACTGAGCAACAAGAAGAAACGATTCCTGCGTTTATCAGCAGCAGCTCAACAAATAGATCTTCCAATCAATCAATCAATCAATCAATCAATCAATCAATCAATCAATCAATCAATCAATCAAATATTCAATGAAATTTAGTTTGGATGAGACATTTTAAAATGCAGTACTACAAGGACTATTGGAACCGACAGCGTAATGTAGCTAGGGGCTGGTTCATACATTATTATTATAATAATAATAATATTATTATTATTTTATTATTATTATTATTATTATTATTATTAATATTATTATTATTATTATTATTATTATTATTATTATTATTATTATTATTATTATTATTATTATTATTATTATTATTATTATTATTATTATTATTATTTCAATAAGCTGATCACAGGGAACAGGCTGACAGCTGCCATCTGATGGGGCACAATGCCTGCCTGCTCCATTGGCAAGAAGAAACATAGAGGAAAGGAAGATAGGAGGAAATAAAAGTGGAAAGAGCAATTATTATCACAGACGGGGACACAGTTAAGTAGTCACATGAAAAAAAATGTCTGCAGACGTGAGGCCAAATCAGTTCGTTTATGAAGAGAAAAGAAATAGTAGAGAAAGAAAGACAGGGAAGTTGATCGTTCAGAGCAACCGGTTGGCTATCGTACACGTGGGAACAAGATGGAGGAGACCGAAGGACGGAAAGGAAAGACAGAGGGAAATGCAGCACACAACACAGCACACACACGCCGTCAGTCACAGCCCGTCACTCTTACGCGGTACGCGACATCCCTGTCACGACTGCTTGCCCAAGTCCGCTTTTCTTAAAACCCTCTGCAGTGCCTTCATCACCTTTAGCTGCAACTTCTTCTTTCGACGGCACGCAAGAATAGTCTCAACAGACATTTGTCTATTGTCAAAATTTACTAGAACAGACACCAGTGACTATCTGTGTACATTATATACTGGAGAGTCACACAAAATGTAGCGCAGCGTCTCCTCGCAACGACAGGCACGGCAAAGAGCGCTGTCGGCCATTCCACAGCGAAAAGAAAATAATTTTGTGGATTCCACCTCTCGCGATAAGCGATAGAGTATTGTGGCTTCTCTTTGGTGGAGCCCAGTTGGCATACAGAAATGCCTCGAAGATGCCAGGTGGCTTAGACAATTAGTGTGGTTGGCCTAGCTGCTTGGTGGGCACCGTAGAGAGAGCGTGATCTCCTGTGCAAGTCCTCAATGACTGCTGGCCGTGTCAGATCTTGATTGTGGGATAGCATATCCTGCGTGCCTTTAAGAACTGTTCCATCGGCATTATTGGCGTTTCTTTCCCTATGACGCTGCAGTGACTTGGAAGCCGCTGAAACGTCAAGTGGCACCCTTTCTCATGTCATGTATGAAAAAGACATCTAATTTCGAATGGGAGCTGTTCGTATGGCCCGTGGAGCAGAGCTTAAAATTGACCATCGTTGAGATGGTTGACGACTGACCAAACAAAGCAGCGCGGGCAGAGCAGCTAGTTTCACAGCTGTCGACGTTACGGTGTGGTCAATCCAAAAGATTATAATGATGGCTTTTGTCCAGACAACCACTGCACCGTACGAACACTGGAGGTTTGTGGAGCCACCGGTATGTACAGGGTGTCCCAAATATCACGCAGCTATACTTAAACATGGAGGAGCGACGTTACGTAAAGAACAACTAGTGCATATTGTTCCCAGTGTGCTCTAGTAGCCACTACTATTTTTCGTTATTGATGTTTAGTTATTTAGTTTTCATAATTATGTTTCCAACTCACCAAGTATTTGCTTAATCATCAAAATGTCACTGAGGCTTATGCATGCATGCTCAAATGACATCTAACCACGTTATTTTCACTCAATTACGTGGTTATTTTTTCGGCTGCTAAAAAAAACACGAGATATGAAAAATAAAATGTGGAAATGTACCCACCCACAAAGGGTGAAAGTGTAGCCTTGACTTGCTACCTCACAGTGATTCTGTTTCAGGGCACGTCTTCTTGATATGTGCTCCAGTCTAGTCACATCACATTTTTCATATTTTTGTGGGCTTTATTTATCAGCTAAAAAAGCGGGGGCGTGATTATAAGTCGTAGAAAATGGCGTAGTTAGATGTCATTTGAACATGCGTACATATAACCCTCACTGACAACTTAGATGTTATGTGTGCATTTATTAAGTTATAAACATAATTGGGGATAATTTACGATACATTAGTAGTGGTTATAACTTCAATATACCGGGAGCAATATTCACTAAGTATGCTTCGGGCAAGGACATTACTTTTCTTTTTTTTTAAATTGAGCTGGTTAATATCTGGGACACCGTGTATAGCCCGTATAACTCTCGCGCAAAACAGGCAGAGAAAGTTGTGTCAGCACACGCGACAGCTCAGACTTTTCCCGGATCCCTGATACATTGAGATGCACTGTGGGTCAAATATGACGCCAAGAGGACATCGCTATTTTAGATGCAGTGATGAAGCTTGAATGAAGTTTGTCGTTGTACTCGACAATAGCTTTAGGGGACGATGTTTGGCACCTGTTTAAAGGCAATGTAGCAAGATTATGATAAGGAGCATGTGCAATATTGTCGAACGTGCATTCACAGAACTTCCACCATGATGAAGTTGGCATTGAATGGTCACAAGGAATAGCAATAGTTGCTTCTATTGAGACATGTGTGGGAAAAAAAAGCACATTATGAGTGTTTCAACTTGTACTGCCTGCAGAACACGAATATTTGTCTTTCAAGCATTGCTAAGCTTGGCAAGGCCAAATCTCGCGAAACCGAGAAACAGCGCTCTGTAGTTATTTATGAAAGCTAGCAAAGGTTCATTGGCCTGGTTATGCCAAGCAGTGCATTCTGCCGGGAGCGTACTGTCAAATGCAGTAAATTCAAACTTAATGCAATTCAGCTGAAGTTTTCTTATTTTAGGCATGTCATGCGAGCCACCTGTCTTACAGAGCAAATATTATTACTACCAAAGTAGAAGGTGAGAGAAAACAGGAGCGTTCATGCGTACTGGAGGCCAAAGGGAAACGCCTTGGGAAGCTTAAAGAACGCGTATTAAATGGGCCTATCTGACGTTCATATACTCATGGCGAGACCAACAGTCAGCAGGTAAATAGTGGTTACGACATTGTGCTGCTGAGTTTCGAATCATGTCTTCAATCCACGCTGTAGTGGCTGTACAGGGCGAAATACAAGAACATTTGTGCAGGGAGCATTAGATGCGCATTAATGAACACTAAGTGGTAAAAGACAATCACAACGTCATCACTATGGCGTGCTTCATAATTACGATAGGGTTTCAAGCCCTGATAGGTGAAATTAATCCGAATAGGCTAGTTATTCAATAGGGATTCGCGCTAGCCATCGCAAAGGTGAGTCTCTAGTTAGTTGCTGGCGGGACAATACGCTATTGAAAATTTGGTATTCTAAAAGCTTTTAAACTATTTGTATTTTATGGTATCTTTCTCGATGAGAATACAAACTTCAGAAAGTTGGCACCAATTCATCTTGATTTTAGCAGCCCTCTGAGGGACGAGGACTAGGAAAAAGAATTGTTAGTCTACATTCTATCGCACTAAGTAAAGTGGGGTTTGAAAATGTAAGCGCCACCTTCACATGTTGCTGAATAAAAATATTATCTGTTTTCTGTTTTTGTTCAAATATTTTTACTTCAACTTTATATTTGAATGTTTTTTAATGTTTCTTTTAAATAAATTCAGTTGCGAGTCAGCGCCCGTGTTGTGTATCTTCTTTTCCTATGCTCGTGCATAAGTGCACTGCTAAAATCAAGATGCAGCTTCTTGGCATGCGTGCATGTGGGCTCATTATCCTTAAGGCTGCCATGTGTGTAAAGCTTCGCCATAATGTTCACGAAGTCGTCGAGAGAGCTATAACCAAAGAAGGGGCCACAGTGTCCGCTTCCCATTGGTTGCTTTGTCACACTCACAAAAAAAGAATTGCTTTTACTAAGCTTGATTGCACATTAGTACACGTCAGGGCGTTCAGGTTGACATATATAAATAAATGTGGACAATATGCTGTTATAAAATTCAGTTACTAGACCGCTTTATTTGTTGTTTTCTGTGTACCTCCTTGTGTCTCTGTTCTTCCAGCGCGTTAAAAAATACAGCCATCGATGCTGCTCCGCATATTGCTCTCACTATAGCCTTACCATGCAGGCGGGGAGCATTGAGGCTTGGCCACTGCTAACGTGGCTTGGGAAACCGTGAATCACAGGTATAGTCGTTGCAGCGTGACATATAATGCCAAACACAGCCTTACATTGCGAAATGAGCAACATTTGCATGCACACCAACCTACATTTATGGCAACAGTTCTTGACGTCATTTGGAAGAGTATACTGTATACCGACACTTGCTCCGTCAAAAGAAAAGAAAACCCAAAGCGGAAAGCTTAATTTCGATTGTTCGAAAATATTCACCTTTTTAATATTTCCATGGCTTCAGAACAAGCGTCTGGTTTGCGCATTTTCTTGGCAGCTGCTAAAAAAGCAATATTCTTAGCGAGGTCTTAGTTACTGTTGCGTGGTTAGCCCTTCGGGACAGACTTTTTCTACGGTAAAAGGATAAAGAAAGAACATTCGCTCGAGGGTTCTATAACGAAGCGATCTCATGGTAGCGGGAACAGCGCCCTGCCAGCAGCACTTCACTTTCCTTGCTATTTAACCATTACGGGTTAGCTTTGAATGGCTAGATTGCCGGGCCCCGTACTCCAAGATGAAACGAGTTTTTTCGTAGCTTCTACTGGATAGGTGAAGGAGGCAAGCCAACGCAAACTGACCCCGGTCCAAGTGTATGGGCAGTGTTCCAAGTCACGAAGAAAAAGTGTCAATCAGCAGGGTTACCTTTTATTTTCGACAGAGGAATGAACAGAAGCAAGAGGTCTTCGTACCTATTCTGTCGTCGCGGCTTTCTTGGCCAAGTATTGCTCTTCGGAGATGCATTATCGAGGGGCGCAGTGAACGGGCGTGTAGTCTCCTCGCACTTCATAATATTAAATCTGGGGGTTTTACGTTTCAAAACCATGATCAGGAGGGGCACTTTAGTACAAGGCTCCGGTAGTTTTGACCAGCTGGGATTTTTTGAAGTGCACCGATGTCTGAGTACTCAAGACTAGCATTTCACTCCCATTGAGATGCGGTCGTCCCAGCCGGGATTCAATCCCGTCAACTTTGCGCCAGCAGTCGAACACTATAACGACGGATTACCGTAGCAGGTCTGCGTGCGTGCGTTCGTGTGTGTGTGTGTTGTGTGTGTGTGTGTGTTTCTTTCAGGGGGGTGGGGGAGCCATGAGTGGAATTGTTTGGTGGTTTCTGCAATAAGTATAAAACTCCACACGCCATTATCAACAACTATGTAACTTTTCAACTCTTCCATGGAGCGCTGTAGCCACGTAATTGAATACTCCTGATATAAATAGATTCACGTACACGCTGTGTACATATACAGAAATGATACCATGCCTAACGCCATGAATCCGTCGAAGACACCATTCTTTTCTCATACCATTGTGCGAAAAGGTGCTAATGAAGACAGCCTAGAACTTCTCGTGTTCTGCCTATTCACACTGTCATAACCGGCAATACAAGAAACCGGCATGCAAGGGACGCTCATCGGCGTACCTGCCAGACGCTGTCCGCGTTCCACAGGAACGCGGGAAATCTCTTGGCGCGCTGCGAGGAACGCGCATCGGCAGGCCTGCTGGACGCAGTCGGCATCTAGCGCGTGCACGGACGGCTATAAAAGGAGCGTGTCGGTAGTGCGCTGGGCTCTCTGGACTTCGCTGGCCCGCTCGTCTCGAGTGCGCTCTGGGCCCTTGTGATGGAAAGGCGCGTCTGTACGCTCTCGTTGCAATGTACTTCTCTTGCAAATATGTAAATTAAACGCATCTTCTACTTGTTCTTGAGACGCGACGCAAGAGTCGTCCTTCGCCGGATCCTGGGTGGCAGCCCCAACCCCTCCCCGGGCATATCAACTGGTTGGCAACGGCGGGATCGGTTCGTGTTCTTTCCTGGTACCGATGCTGGTGAGTGCTCACTTTCCGTAGAGATTCTGCCAGGTGTTTTGGATAGATGGTGATGTTTATCCAAAAGGGTAGATTAGTTGCTGTTTTGTGAAGGATTGGGTTTATTAGAGGTACCTTCACGGCAGTTTGAGCAACGGAAGTCTGCACGGGGTGACCATGGACTTGAACAAATTGAGGAAACGGGATTTAGTGCTGTTGTGCCAGGAGCTGGGGATTGAGGTGGCGACTATACATAGAAAGCCACTTTTAATACAGGTGGTTAAGGATTCTGGCGCGGATGCGGAGGAGCTCGCCGAGTGCTGGGAGCTAATTCAGGAGAGGATGAAAAGGGCACAAGAAGTCGAAGAGCGAGAGCACCTTATGTTTAAAAGAGAAACCGTCAGGCGCAAAGAAGAAGCGGAAAGCCAAGAAAGGAATCTTGAGCGCTTGCGGCTTCAGCTTAAGATTGCAGAGATTCAGGCAGGCGCACGAGTGAGCATGAGGGACCTCTTGCAGCTTTACAAAGAGAGCGAGGAGGAAGGTCCCATTCTGGAAACGGACAATGTGAGAAGCCCATCGCCTGAGAACGATGAGGGCGCATCACAAGTGTCAGATGAAGAGGGTGGGCTGGAAATTGTCGAGGATGGAAACTCAAGTGATGGTGAACAGGGTGAAGATGAAAGTAATGGAGCCAAAGAAAATGATGATGGTGGTGATAAAGCAGGAGATGGCGATGAGGCGGAGGAGGGTGGGGTAGAGGAAGAGGGGGAGGAAGAAAAACCAGAAGTGCAGCCTCAAGCTGAAGAGGAAGAAAGCTTACAGATGAACCTTCAAGAGGAAGAAACAGGTTCAGTGCCTGTAGAAGACACTCCAGCATCCCCTACCGAAGAGGACTCTTCATTCATGCATGATGCGCCTGCGTCTCCCCCTGCTGAAGAAAGTCCATCATCTCCACTAGAAGCGACGCCATCTCCTGCTACCCCTGTTGATGTGCCGGCATCACCAATGGAAGATGTGGTCCCTGAGGCATCACCTATTGAGAGTGGAGAGGACTCCTCGGCACCTGTCTCTCCTGAAGAAGTTCCAGCAGATGAGCAATCAGCAGAGGTTTCAGGATAAGGCGAAGATGGACAAGAAAACGACGAAAAGGGGATCGCAGACATCAATGAAGGTGACGAAGAAGACACACAGGACAATGCATCTTCGCCAAAGGAAATTGAAAGTCCCGAGGCTGAACCGGAAGAAGAGGAGGGGGAAGAGCTGGAAGAGAGCAGTTTGGCAGCTGGTGGACCAAGTGACGACATCGCTTCCCCTGCACCAGAGGAATCTAAAGAGGCAGATGATGGTGGTGTCCTCCTGGGCAACCTCCTTGATACTGAAGATATATCTTCTTCTGAAGAAGAAGGCCTTCTTGAAGATACCAGTTATGGCATGGAGGATATATCGGAGCCTGGTGGCAAGATGGCTTGGTGGACAATCTTGAAGCTGTTGTCAGGGAGCAGGAGGAGCCTTGGCGACAAGAGTCAAAGGAGAGTGAATGCCCAGTGCATAAGGAGCGGAAGACAAAGCACAAGAAACTTGTCAGCATCGGAAGCACCGGCGTCACCGGCGGACGAACAGCAATAATGAGGACCGTGAAGAAGGTGAGATTGTTGAAGAAAGGTCTCCGTCATCTTCAAGCCGACGACGAAAGGAGGTAGAGACAACTGCTGATGACTTGGCTGAATTGGCACCACGCATCAACATTTCAGAGTTGCCGTGAATACCCAAGCTCAAACGTAGTGAAAGAGTAGCAAGTCACACTGCTGACAGCGAATCAAGCATTGGAGATGATAGCACAAGTGCAACTGCAGCATCGCATGTCGAAGTGAAGCGCACTAGTGTGTTGGGCCGGGTTGACTCTGGCAGTGATATCAGCTGGAAGAAGCTGCCAAAGCACTCGCAGGAGCATAGCTTTGAGCTCAAGTACCGCAAAGGCATAGACAACGGTAACGCCGATGGCCTGAGCCGAGGTTTTTCGTAGCTGAAGAGCTAAAGGAAACGCGGAACTGTACAATTTTTTTGAGTCCTTTGTCAGACGCAAGCGCTACTATTTAGCCTTGGGCGGGTGGGCGCACGTTTTTATTTCTTTGTTCGAGTTCACTTGGTCACCACCATAGCGTAGTCTTCTGTTGTGCAATAAATTGCGAGCCTTGCAGCAAGTTACACCTGGTGATTCTCGGGAGAGCTGAGTGTTCTCAGTGTGGGTGTCCGGTTTGTGAGCGTCTTCCCCGCTAAAGGCAGGCAGAAGATTGCTATGCCTACCGGTCCAACAGCATGGCATGGGGGACACGACGAACCAGCTATTGCGGACTGTGGCCCTTCGGTTGGGCTTCCTGCTTCCTTCGGCCAGTGGACGACCAGGCAGCGGTGACGGGGCCTTTGCAGCTGTGGACAGTCCCATGCTGCGACCAAGCGTGTGACGTGCTGGGCCTTTTTACGACGTCGAGGTGCGCCTACCGTAAGACCTGCTATGTGGTGAGTGTCTCTGTGTTGTGGTGGACAGTGTTGCGCCTACGGAGACGGACTACGGCAACTTCAGGGAGCAGCGCCACTGCAGCCCTTACGTGACCTCTTCGGACAGCGGACGAGCTGTCATTGTTCTGGCAATACAAGAAACCGGCATGCAAGGGACGCTCATCGGCGTACCTGCCAGACGCTGTCCGCGTTCCACAGAAACGCGGGAAATCTCTTGGCGCGCTGCGAGGAACGCGCATCAGCAGGCCTGCTGGACGCAGTCGGCGTCTAGCGCGTGCACGGACGGCTATAAAAGGAGCGTGTCGGGAGTGCGCTGGGCTCTCTCTCTCTGGACTTCGCTGGCCCGCTCGTCTCGAGTGCGCTCTGGGCCCTTGTGATGGAAAGGCGCGTCTGTACGCTCTCGTTGCAATCTACTTCTCTTGCAAATATGTAAATTAAACGCATCTTCTACTTGTTCTTGAGACGCGACGCAAGAGTCGTCCTTCGCCGGATCCTGGGTGGCAGCCTCAACCCCTCCCCGGGCATATCAACACACACACACACACACACACACACACACTTATATATATATATATATATATATATATATATATATATATATATATATATATATATATATATATATATATATATATGTGTGTGTGTGTGTGTGTGTGTGTGTGTGTGTGTGTGTACATGGGGTGCAGACTATTGGAAAGTGCTACGTAAAGGCGATAAACGCAGCAGTGTGAGGATCGTGTTTATTGGAAAACGGCTGAGCTGCGACGCCGTTTGTAAAGAATCTTCCGTGATGGAGCGTTTCGAAACAGCCTCTTTGTGCTAGTGAAACGGTTTTCCGTGATTTCGTCATCCCTCTGAAATGGAAGCCCTGTCGTCCTACTTTAAAGATTTCCTGTTATTTCCCGTATGGCTACTTGGAAATACTGCTCAGAAGTTGAGCATGGACATAAAACTTTGTGGTTCTCTTCTTGACCTGATTAAACTAGAAAATGTCATAGTTTACGGATAGAAAACAGCTCATGCTACTGAGAAAAAGAGCTTTCAATGCCACCAGATTACTGAAGATAAACAATGTGCTAAGAAATATAACAACTCTAAACACAAATTATCTTGCTGAACAAAGTTTTGAGCAGTGCACATTGAAAGGCGGACACAAGTGCGTAGGAGCAATTAGGATGAAACTTACCCAATAGGTGCAGTGTTTGGACATTGGTGGAAAAGTAGCAGTGCGGAAGGCTTATCTGCGCATGCTCTAAGAAAAGCAGCTCATAATGGTGAACCATAGAACACAGAGCTTTTTTCACAAAACTGTCAAAGGAAGCTGTAGTGCTATAGTGTTTACAGGAGCTTAAAACATGGTGGTTGAAGCAGCATATGAATTAGGCTGAGTTAGTACACGGATTTGCCCTAAAATTGTTGTCACCATAATGTTTGGTTTACTTATTTTTCATTACTCTCATTTTCAAAATGATGTGATATTATGAGTTTAAAAAAACTTAATATTTGTAGATGTGCACATAGTCAAATCCCTTTTCACACGTGAAAAAGGAAAGTAGCTTTGAAGGTTTGGAGAACATAAGCACACAAGGCATGCAGCAAGCTTAGACAAAGGAATGGTTGCCCCAAGTACCAAGGTCAGACAATTCACTGCATGACCATTGTTGTTGTGATTGCTGAACATTCGCAGCGCCAGTGTACCCTCCAGTTATTTAGTAGGTAACTCCGTGTCATATGAATGTGCCACAGTTCTCGAAAGATAACTGTTTAGGCATGAAAATTCTCGAACAGCCATTATGAACTGTAACCATAACACATTTTTGGACTTTTTGTTTGTGCTTTGCATAGCATCCGTCTGATTATTGCCAGCAATTCTGCCTCTCTTTGCATGCTTGGAGGTGTGTATGTGTCTCAAGCTAGTGTGAGTCGTAAAGGCAACACGAACAGCACGTTGACTCTTTGCTATCTTGACTCCGTGTGACACAGATCAAATATAGAATCTACCCACTGCGTCCTTCTCACCATAATGTAACCATATTTTACAATTCCTGTCGTTTAGTGCGGAACTGTATTGATATGGACGGGAGAGAGAGTAACACACACACAAGCGCTAAATTTCAGCGATAATTTCTTGCATCATTCTTGTTAAGCCCGTCATTTCAGTTTCTGGCTTAACTACATGAATATGTCGCACCAGCAGGGGGCAAAATCTACCCTTGCTAAGGTAAATGATAAGTTAGGCCTGGCGTTGCTTGAGCATACTCAAAGTTTTCTTGTCTCTCTTTTTGTATATAATAGAATGATACATGGGCACCCAAATGTAGCGCCAGCTGCTTCTTCGTTGTTTAATAGGTGAGATAATCTGTGTGTGTCTTGAATGCGAAGCATTTCTTTGCGTACTGCAGGCATTTTGAGCATCTATCTATCTATCTATCTATCTATCTATCTATCTATCTATCTATCTATCTATCTATCTATCTATCTATCTATCTATCTATCTATCTATCTATCTATCTATCTATCTATCTATCTATCTATCTATCTATCTATCTATCTATCTATCTATCTATCTATCTATCTATCTATCTATCTATCTATCTATCTATCTATCTATCTATCTATCTATCTATCTATCTATCTATCTATCTATCTATCTATCTATCTATCTATCTATCTATCTATCTATCTATCTATCTATCTATCTATCTATCTATCTATCTATCTGGGATAAACCAAAACTAGTATGGGAAGGTAAGATGATTTGACAAATATGACTTTTTGGTCATGACATGAATATATCCCAATCCCGTCACGTACATTGTGGTACATAGCCGCGGGCCGGTATGTCCTACCGGTATGCCATTGATATGCGGGTATGTGCCACAGGTGATTGACAGTTTAAATAAACCCCGAAACGGTGAGAACAGACATGGTTCACTTTAACGCGCGAGCGTCAAAAAAAAAAAAAAAAAAAAGCTGACATCGGCTGCGCTGACCAGGTGAATTCGAAGAATAATCGTCAGGGTCCCAGAAAGGATCAAACACCAGCATTCTGCGTGACAACCACATATTCTACCACATTGCCACGCCAGGCCACGGAGCTACTTTTCAAATAAGCCCTAATGTTCGTGAAACGCCCATTGTGGCTGCAATGCTGGCTATCCCATTAAAAAAAACATTACATATGTACTCTTATGATACAGACGTCACGTCATGTGCTACAATGTATGCGACAGGATTTAGACATATTTATGTAATGACCAACGAGTTATCTTTGTCAAACCAGATAAATAGATAGATAGATAGATAGATAGATAGATAGATAGATAGATAGATAGATAGATAGATAGATATTACAAAACAGGTACTTCCATTCATCAGATAATAAAATTTTCTTCTATCAGATAATAAAAATTACAACACAGTCACCTTTCATCCACATGCTTCGCACAAAATTGAGTCCCAAGGTACATGGGATCTGCCGAATGTTTTGTACAGTTTCATTATACGTGTGTCCAAATTGGAAGGGTACCTTCAGTGACATGAATCCGTCCCAACTTGCTCGACATTCCGTCGTTTTTAAGTTGCTGATGCGGCTTATACAAAGTGACCTTTAAGATGTGGATTCAACGCACTGAATGCGCGTTAGCATTGTTATTGTTGTAACGTAAACTACATGTCTCTTAATTATTCCATTACCCTATTCACAGGCATAGTATACATTGTATCAACAGAACTAGAGAGTTAAAATTTTGTTCTATTTTACGGAAGACTTAGCGAGGGGAATCACACGAATATAGACTTATTGCGACGACGAACTGGTTTGTTCGAAGTAGCACTTTGAAATAATGTAAGGAAAAGAGTCTAACTTTGCACAGGCAATTAAGCAAGAAGTAGTTGAACATAGAGTACCCACTAGCTTTTACTCACACTTTGCTAAATAGAGCTTTTACCGCGGACTACTTGGTTCATGTCTACAAAATGCCTCATGCGGCCTGCAAGCTTGTCGGCAGATTGAGACACACAGTAACCATCATCTCCCTCATAAATATAAAGCTATTTTATGAGCATTGCAAGTTCAAGGCTTCTCCTAATCATCTATCATCTACACTACCTTGCATGAGATGCTGCCAACCATTCACGCATAAGTGGTACATCGAGGTGAAGCCGATAAAGATACCAATATATTCCTGTTCGACATAAAAAAGAGCTAGTATTTCAACGTTAATATTTGAAATACGCAACCAGAAAATGTCAATCCAATAATTTCTCTCACATCCCTGGGCATAAGACAGTGGTTGCGATAATCACCGTGAACTGTATCACACCTGGCATATAGCGTGAAACAATGACTAACAAATTCGACAGCGATAGCTCAGACTAGGTGTAAACTTATAGGGAAACCGATTTAGAAACACGATTAGTAAAGAATAAGAAAAAAACAAAAGTTGTGAAAAAGTAAAGCATCAAGAGGCACTCTATACTTCACCTGTCACTCAAGAAAAAAAAAAGAAAAAGAAGGGCCACCAATAAAGCAAGATAGTAAAAAAAAAACATTTGGGCGTTATGTATGGCTGTACTAAGACAAATATGTTGCAAAAATATTGCAACAAAAACAAAGACATTAGAAACTAGGGCCTTGTCAGCGACAGGTAACACCTTCGTGATAGCTTTCAGGGTTTGAGCATTGACGTCATGTGCACACGAAGGCACAGAGCTCATACATTACGATAGATGACTCGTATGCTGCTTACCGTGATCGTCTATCTTCTAAAGTACTTCTTTCAATGACATGATGTTCAATGCTGAACATCAGCTAGCGGGCACAATTTACGGCAGCAGAAACAGCGTTTAGATGGCCGTGTGTTGTAGAAACACTCGTCTCCTTAGATTAGGTCCCTGTTGAAGAAGCACAAGGGCGGTCGAGCTCGACATGGAGTGCTACAGAACGAGCGCCTTATAGTCATAGTGTCACGTGAAGACGTCAAACGCAATCAGTCTCGAAACCAAAGAATTTGATTACAACTTACTGCGTCTCTCAAGTTGGTTGAAGCTACGCTACCTTCATGACCCTTTCCGAGTGTCTTGCTGGTATTGGCCTCAACTGGTGCATTCCATAACGTCTTTTGTACTATACAACCGTTAGTGGCATCTGCATTGAGATTATATTTATCTCTAGTCGCGCGCTCGTTAAGTGGGTGCTGGTACTGCTAGTTATTTATTTATTTATTTATTTATTATTCATTTATTTATTTACATCACAGCTTTCAAGAAAGTTCTGAAAACAGGGACAATATATTGTTTCTTCAGGTTCCACTTTTTCTGAATGACTACGGTATGCCACTTGATAATGCTTTCTACTGCAACCTTTTGTTTGTGCTCACATAAAATAAACAGAAATTCTGCATTCTCCGTTCTACTAAAGAGCAGTCCGCAGCATTTGCTCATAAATGAAATACAAGCGATCTAAATTGATTGATATGTGGGGTTTAACGTCCCAAAACCACCATATGATTATGAGAGACGCCGTAGTGGAGGGCTCCGGAAATTTAGACCACCTGGGGTTCTTTAATGTGCACCCAAATCTGAGCACACGGGCCTACAACATTTCCGCCTCCATCGGAAATGCAGCCGCCGCAGTCGGGATTTGAACCCGCGACCTGCGGGTCAGCAGCCGAGTACCTTAGCCACTAGACCACCGCGGCGGGGCAAACACAAGCGATCTAAAAAAAACAACAGTATTGACTGAAGCTTGCTCGTCTTGTCCGACTGGTCCATGTTACGTCCCACTATTTGGAACTATAGTTTCCACCTTTTGTCTGATTGACTGTCATAATCAGCCTCAAGTCATTGACAATGCACTATCATCACCTGTACAGTGAAAAGATAGAGTGTGGAAGCTGTACCAATATTCGTTAATAGGCACAGAGAATTGGCTCCTTTTTGCATGTACTAATAGTTACAGAGCTGATGTTTTTGATGTTTCTTTCAAAAAACACCGTAAATAATTTAGAAGGATAAATGAAATCGACCATGTCTCCGCTACGCCCGCATGGCTGCTTTTTGTGTTGCCTTCCTCAAATTTCGTAATGTGCCCTGTAGAGCGTGCTCTGCTACAGACTTTGGTGCACTGCAGAAAGCCATACTTTCATGCACATATTTGTGTATATACATAAACTCACTGTGTTCTTTTTTCTTTAGTGTCTCTCTCGCTTTTTTTTCACTAAGCATGTCAAGTTGTTAATGCGATTATAAGAGGCATGCGCAATACATGCTCTAATTTTTCCAAGTATGTTGCGTAACTACACAGTAATTGGATGATCAGACGATTTATATACCAAGTAATCTTGCGCAAAACAAATGTATTTGCATTGTATTTGTCAGCCGTCGCTAGAGGGATAGATATCTGATGAAAAGTAATCTCATATTTCTTTAAAACTGAAAAGGCTATGAGTTAATGCCGTTTTATGACTGAAAAAAAAAATCTGGGGCGAATACAGAAGTGGATCTATAATTCTCGCACAAAAGCTAAAACACACGTTGTTTGGTGAACTGTACTTTCACTGCGTCGTGCTATACAATTGGAAACAGAAATGAGGCTTAAATAGGTCACCAGGTTCTCCTCAAGCGAGTCATGCAGCACTACAATGAAGCGTGCAACAGGGAAGATAGATCAAACGCAAGCCATGGCTTTTGCAGGATTCTGGCTGCCGCGCGTGATTGTTGAGCCAGTGGCGAAGGCGCGCTGTTTTGAAACCACCTGCGCGGTGTTCGCGGGACCCGGGGCGAGGAGGAAGTTCCTAGAAGTGGAGAGCACGCCGTCCAGACCCTCCCGCAACTCGGCGCTGCTCGGAGTGCGCGGCTCTGCGCGTGCGTCAAATGCCCAGGAGCCAACCAAGATAGATTTACTGCTCGCTCAAGGCGCGAGCGCTGGGGCGTCACGTCATGGACCACGTGACGGCTGGCGGGCCCATAAAAGACCCGTTGGAAGCAATACGCTGTACACACACGCACTCCAACCGTTCGGCGCCGCGTTCACGGCTCCACTCCTCGCTTTCGCGTGGCAGTCGCGCGTGCTTTGTTTTGCCTCGTGCGGCGCATGGTGGCCGCCCTGTGATCGGGGCCGCCTGGAGGAACTACAATTTGCACGCTGTTCCGCGCGCTCTGCCGGACTGCACCTGTCTCGGGAGAGCAGCGGTCGTGCCGAAGCTCGGCTGCCGAGGTTGTACGGCATGGCCTTAGAGAACGCGACGCGTCGCGCGTCGCCAACGCGGACCACGGCCCAGCCTTCCTCAAGCCAGGGTTCGGCAGCTGACAGCGAAACGTGCCTGACGGGTGATGGGGCGGTTGGCGTTGCCGCTGGCGGTCGCAGTCCGTCGAGCCAGCAGCAGCGCAGCCCCAGCCACAGCGTCCGCAGAAAGCCACGTGCCTCCCCGCGCCGATACCACGGAAGCCACAGTAACGGCTGTGCCTCGGCCACGGCATCCCCTCTGCGGGATGCCAGTGTCAGCAGGTCCCAGTCCATGCGAACCACACGCAGGCCCCACTCGCTACAACGCCACTTTCGCGATCGCATCGCCAGTATTCCGGGCGACCTGCTCATGGTGAACGGCGCCAACGACTCGCGTGGCTCGTCCAGCAGCTCGCTGCCCTGCGAGGAGCCGGCGGCCGACCTTCAACGCCTAAGAAACTTTGCCGTCACCTCCAAGGGAGTCGTGAATCGCGGTGACTCTTTCCGTTCCAAGTCACGCAGTACGCACAGTGTCGCCTCAACAGGCAGTGGTCACAAGCTGGTGGTCCCTGGCTCTTCAGAAGTCGGCGGCGAAGCGACCAGCGACGCGTACTGCGTGTGCGCATCGCTGGATAGAGACAGACGCGTTGTCAGCTCCCTGCAGCCACTCAATCCCGAGCCAGTGGTGCGCACGGACCGGGCCACGTTCGCGCTCGCCTGCCTTGAGCCCGCTGGCCCGAGCCTGTCTGGTCTGCCACCCGAGGTCGTGGTCACAAGAAGCACCGAGCCGGCTGACCTGGCCCGCTACCGAATCCTTGTCCTTGGTGCTCGAGAGGTGGGAAAGACGTCGCTCATCAACCAGTTCATGACATCCGAGTACATCTACGCGTACGACAGCTCTGTCGGTGAGTGTGCTTTCTCACATTGGCGGCCAGGGGCACGTTTCAAGCGGCATTGTAGCACCGTCTGAAAGGTGTCCCCCGTCGTACCTTTCCCACAGAAACTGCTTGTTAGTTGTTAGCTCGGAGCTTGTTACTTGCCAATAGAATCTGATCCACTTATATTGCTTACCTGTCTTTTCCCGCTGTTTACTCACTGGAGGCCTGACAAAAAAAACAATAAAGTTAATTTGCACTTTGCGAGGTGAAATCACATCTGCTACGAAGCAGTTCTGTACCTTTTACATCTGGCCATCGCAGAAAATAACAAGCTTATGTTTTGGAGTACGTCAAGTACAATTGCATGTAGGAGAATACATGCCGAGAATGTATTGTATTCTGTTGAACTGGCAGACTTGGACATAGGACTGTGTGCATTTTCCGCAGAGAGATAGAGATGCAGGGAAACTGTGCCATACTAGCGCCCTTAAGGACAGTAGATTTCATTCCCTGTCCTAAACCAAATAACCGAAAAACAGTCAAAAAATTGTGAGGAAAAGAGATGAAGTAAGATAAAACAAACACAAAAGTTGCATGCGTCAGGCACAATGGCAAAACAATGATGCTGCACTATTTTGCGCTTGGATTTCTAAAGCAAGCTGGCCATATTTAAGCATGTAAAATAGAGCCTTTGTTATGTAGGTTGCTTTCAACTTCTGAAGCAGCCCAAAAACATCTGTCCTTCTTTTATAACAAAGCGAAAATGCAATCGAGTCCATCTAGCTGTGACTTGCAAGCTGTTCCTGCTAACAGTTTTCAAGTTCGAAATTTGCTCTCTGTCAGAAAAGTCCCTGTTACATTTCTACCTACTTATGCAGCATGGATGGCAAAAAAAAAAAGCACGCGCAACATACTCTAAAGGAAGGTGCATAACTGCCATGTTATATACTTGACAAGGAAAGTTTTTCATTGTAAACATTTCCAAGCAATGGACAATATCAGAATATTTAAGCAATATCTCGAAGATACAGGCTTGCAATTACGTAACTAGTATTTTATTCATTTATGTTACGTTTTATGCTTGATAGATAGATAGATAGATAGATAGATAGATAGATAGATAGATAGATAGATAGATAGATAGATGTATAGATAGACAGATAGATGTATAGATAGATAGATAGATAGATAGATAGATAGATAGATAGATAGATAGATAGATAGATAGAGATAGATAGATAGATAGATAGATAGATAGATAGATAGATAGATAGAAAAGACTTATATTCGCTTTGAACATGCTGTTTATAACTGTTGTAATTCTACCAATTTACGAACAATAACTGTCCAAAACTTGTTTTCTTTGGCAACTTTCGTTCGCAATGTCTGACTACCAGAGTGGCAGAGAAACTGCACTGCACAATTACGCAGAAAGTTGAAAGTGGAGATTGGTCCATTAGTTCGTACTACATCGGTCTTTTCACACTTATTTCGTTTAGCTATTTCATTAACCAGTGTCGATCTTTTCTAGCCTCCCCTTTCCCCCGAACCTGCGACTGTTCCAAGTCACCCAATTTTTTGCGTTGATTTCGCAACTCTTGTCTTTATAAAGTGAAGTCGTTGTAAAGCGAATCACCGTGCGAGTGTGAAATCGTAGTACAGCACTTATTTCCAGGTATACGACCAAAACGCTGTGTCCAATGCGAGAACTGTTTCAGTGGCACAACACGCAATTCGCACTAATACAACGGCAGGGCATGGTCAAAGTAATTTCCATTCGCTTGCGCGCAGCTGCTCGAGCAACGAATGCGCATGCGCACAGCCGTTTCCTAGGAAACAACCTCGTGAAGGAGATGGCGCGTTTTTATAAATGCCTGAGGGCGTTGCTGGATCGCTAATACTTTGCTACCGGCCACAACTCCTAATTGCGAGTGCCGCTTGCAATCGACAATTACGAGCAGCGGCTTGTAATCGCCATTTGCAAGTGAGGCTTCATTGCTGTACAATGCCCGCAGTTTCTAAAAAGAAAGAAGTCAAAGAGGGAATTGGTTTTAAAAAAGCAAACTGATTCAAAAAAATACTAGCCGAACCAATTCGCACTAGATACGGTGTCCTAATTTACTGTACTGTGAATAAAATTTGATGAGAGATCAGTTCTACCTTTTCCGCAAACAGCAAATAATACTATTTGTTGGGTGTTTTTAGCGTAGACTTCTCTAAGAGCGTCATTATATTGTCATCACGGTCTCGTCAGTCCAATGTTACGCATTTCCGTACAAGTTATCAAGATAGGTGACGCAAATGATTGTAAAGAGGACATTGCGAGACAAAATACTGAACTTTGCATGCCTGACCTCTCAATTTTCAGACTCTCTCTATGAACGTATCTAGTACAAGGCATGAGAACACGCAGTTATCCCGACAAGCCTCTACCGTTCGCGAATCCACGCGCGTGCTACAGCAAACAGTGCAGACATTGAAGACGACGATTATTGATAAATCAATGGGGTTTAACTTAGCTATGATAGTGTATTCCGCAGTCGCCTGTCATGCCCACGAAATCGAACAATAGAAACGTCTTCTAATGATGCACGATATTTTTTGTTTTTTTTTCTTTTTTAAGATGAAAGTTGTGGCTTCGACAATCAGAAGCTTATAATGCCTCCCAAAAAAAAACCAGATCACATTTTCCCTTCACTGTCCATTTTCACTGCGCGTTGAAACGACCATTTGTTATTTCGTGTGATCTCACTTTTTTTATTTATTGAAGGTATTTTTTTGTTCTGCTGCTATATCTTTTCTCCTTTTTTTTTGCAAACAGCCTTTCCTGTGATTGATTTCTACTTTGGAAATAGCGAAACTGTTTCTGGCAGTACTAGAACATAGTATCTATAAATAACGGAACTAATTAGGTTTGAGCTTTCCAAATCTTCAAGTATGCGGAACTGTGTGTAAGTTGTGTGAGAGGATGTAATGAATTTATTGCTTTATGCGGAGATATTCTAAGTAGTTTCATATGTATTATCCGGTATACGCTTCGATGGCTTCTCCAACGTTCGTAGCATAACTGGCTGATGGCAATATGCCTTGCAAAACGCGTCCGAAGCGCCATTTATGACGCTCAATAAAAAATAAAACTACGATGACTGAGAACGTTTGGCCAATAAGCGCAAGATAAGGCCCTGTAGTTCCCTCTCAAACTAGGCTAACATAATGTGGCTGACATGTTTGTAAACAGTGGCATAGGCGCCGTCGACTCACTGAGGCGCTTGTAGCGACGTCGGGGTGCAGGCGTCGCCCAGCTCAAAGCTCGCCACCGCCCTCTATGATCTCGTGAGAACTGACACAGCAGCTGCAAAGCTGCTGCCGAGCCCAGTGCGTCGGGTAGCCTGCCACGTGAACCGGGAAGCTCTTAGACGTTTACTGTTCCGAAATTTTCATTAACTTCTTTATAAAGCGCGTCACGTTACGCGTTACGGGCAGACGCACTGAAAGACTTCCTAGTTGAGTCGCCTAAAAAGCTTACGCGTTGAGTAATTGAATTACGACTATTACATAATATACTACTAGTTGTCACGGTGGCTGGAAGCGTGTGCTCTGGCATGCGTAACCGCCGTCTATGATGTATGCAACGCTGGTTTGAGACGGTAGCTGTGTTATTTCGCGTTCTCGGCTGAACGAGCCAGGCCACAACAAAAGTGGTGCCTATAAAGTGCCTATTGATAGTCTGTACCCCCGGTTGAAAGTCTTTGTTCCGCCCATGGCTATAACTTATAAGCTCGAACTACTAGAAGCAATGAAACGCGACGTCTAAGCTTCTGGTTATCAGTAGAGCAGGTCTCCCCAACATAATGAATATAATGCAATGGTTTTCTTTTTCGCAATGTCTTAGCTTCCAATATTATCGATGGCTCACGGCAGAAAAATCTTGATTACAATGTAAGCGGCGACAAACGTACGGCCAGAAAAGCTGAAGAGCTGTGAAAAAGGAATAAGGAAGAATATTTTATTGCAGACGTTTTCTACCTCACCAACATTTTGTAACACAACGAACCAGAATCTTCAAAAAGAAAATTTGCGCCTTTAATAACTGTTGTTGAAAGGGAGGCTCTACCGAACGGAAAGTGTTGCAGCTCTTCAGCATACTGTCTGCTGTAGTTAGGATACGGAAGTACCACTAAATGCTTCAGCTCTCTACAAAACAGAAAAAAATCTTCTGCCAATCTACAAAACAATAAGCTCTACATAGGCTCACCTAACGCAACAAATATAAACCACTCATTATTTACAACAGGCACGTTTCTAGAAGAATATTCGGCCATTCGCACGCAATAAAATCCGCAATCTGTGGCTGCCGAACATTTTTTTGCGACAGGAATCTTCGCCCTTGATTAAAAAAGAAACAAGAACTTTATACTGGTCACGACATTAAAACTGGTTAGCAACGCCTTTGCGATATGGGCATTCCAGCATCTGTGTAGAGCAAAACGAAAATGGGAGTGATGAGCAACAAAAAAAAAAGAAAGAAAGAAAGCCTACGCATAACATCCAAAATTTCGATTCCTCTAAAATACGCACTCTTTTTAGTGTCAACACGCTTCACACAAGCCTCTATTGTTCGCGTTCATTTTTCTTTGAGAGCAATTATAAATACCAGTGATGATATAGCAATTCTTTACGCGATTAAAAACGCGATGGTACTGTCGTTTGATAAGGTTTTCAAGTGCTCGCCGCACGCGATCCTGCGTTTCGCAATTCAATACAAGAAACCTGCAGCCGGCAAAATGCCTGTATACGTATAGCTCCCTCTACGATGATGCAATGCGCGAAGTGATGCCTTGGATGGGGAAAAGACAGTATGCTCGCTGAAACTATCATTATGAAAAAATAAACGTCTAATTCTTTCTCCCACGCAATACTGTTATTGACACGGAATATACTGTGCTCGTCTTGGCTGCTTTCCGGCATTGATAATTCAATTGCATGAATAGGGTAGCGAAAAAGCGGAATGTATTTTTGCTTTTCGA